CCTACCCTTTGTTTCTTGTCTTTTAACCAGTTCTCAATCCAAGAAAGGACCTTCCCTCTTATCCCATGGCCATGTAATTTACACAAGAGCCTTGGGTGAGGGACCTTGTTAAAGGCTTTCTGAAAATCTAAGTATACTATATCTACTGGATCCCCCTTATCCGCATGCTTGTTAACCCTTTCAAAGAACTGTAATAGATTAGTAAGACAGGATTTCCCTTTACAGAAACCATGTTGACTTTTGTCCAACAAATTATGTTCTTCTACATGCTTCACAATTTTATTCTTTACTATTGTTTTGACTAATTTGCCCGGTACTGAAGTTAGACTTACCGGTTTATATTTGCCCGGATCGCTGCTTCATTTTCCTATGCCAGGTAGCCTAATCTACATGCCTGTGTCGCCAGAGGCATGTGGTCTGGACGTACCCTTAGGGAGGACCCCTTGCACCTCACCCAGCTCGCATGTACTGAGAGAGGCTTTCCCTGGCTCAGCTGCAGCATGGCCCCTGGGGCTGGGGAAGCTCCCGCCTGTGCAAAGCACCAGTTTGGCTGCCATTTACATTCCTCCAAAGTCTTTGCATCGGGGGTGAAGTTGTGTCTTGGCTTTGTGCTTCCCCATGCTGCACAGGGGAACTTCACCCTGACCCTGGCTCTGCAGCATCTTCCCCGGGTCCTTCATTTGGCTTGTACCATCTTACTTCAGGCGTCACTGGGCTTTCCCTCGTTTTCTGTGTCCCCGCCTCAGTGTCTTTATTACTTAAACTCTGTCTCTGGCGTTTATCCATGGCCTCCCTCAGAGTAAATAGCCCCCTTTCAGCGTTCTCTGAGCAAAGCCGGGCAGTACAATGGCTGCTCTTGCAGGACATTTTGTTCAGAGAGACACTGTGCGATTGTCTCCCCAGGCTGCCGCACACGCATGAAAAGCAGGCGTTTGTCAATACTTCTTTGCTTGTCTGTTCTGAAAAGCATCACCCTGCAGACTCTGCCGTTGAGTTGGCCAAACCTAGGCTGTAAGACCGGTGACAGCGGTTGCCTGTTTGTAGCATCCAGAGACACGTGGGCTCCCTGGTTTTTCTGACTCAGCTGGGAGATGCGGCTAAAATCTCAAACCCGGACGGGTTCCACAGTTTCCTTCCAGAAGTGGCTTTGAGTGGGACTGAATTTATCCAGGCCCTTTCGTGATTCCTCTTTCTGGACAATCATGTTTGCGCGGCGTGTTTGTGTGTACACGCACGTGCACACTCATCTAGCTGTTACAGAAGATAAGCATCAAACGGGGCTTGATCTGTAGTGCACCTCCGCCTACGCCTTGCCTGGAGATGTGATAACCTCTACACTGAACCTCAGACGGCTTTATTTCCAATGTCTTATAGCATCCAACAATGATACATCTTTTACTGATGTAAAGGGTCGTGAGTATTTAGAGGAGAGCTTCAAAATGATCAAAGGATAGAAAACCTGACACATGAAAGGCTTAAAAAAAATCTGGGCATGTTTAATCTGAGAAGAGAAGACTGAGGGGGAACCTGATAGATCTCCCAGTATGTTAAGGGTTGCAATGAAGAGGACTGTGATCGATTGTTCTCCATGTCCACTAAAAGTAATGGGTGCAGCCTGCACCCAGGGAGATTTAGGGTGAGATATCAGGAAAAACTTGATCCTCATCATGGCAGTTGCGTGCGGGAATAGGCCTCCAAAAGAGGTTGTGGATTTAGGGCAGGGCGAGCGGGGTGGCTGCCCCAGGCCCCGTACTGCCCGAGGCCCCGCGCATGCGCCGTGTCAAAGGAGGGGCCCCGGGAAATGTCGCTGCCCGGGGCCCCGCGGCGCTCTCATCCGCCCCTGGTTGTGGAATTCCTGTCATTGGAGGTTTCTGATAAGAACTGATTGGTCCTGGCAGAGGTAGTCTAGGGCAGGGGTGGGCAAAAGGGCCTCCATGGGCCGGATCAGCCTGCTGCTCACCCACCCCCAAGCCAATTAGGGTCTGGGGGCAGGGCAGTGCACAAAGCTTCCTCCCGCCCTACCCCCGCCCAGCGAGGCGCATGCTGCACTTCATGCCGTACGCTCGCACCGGGTGGGAGGAGACGTCACGCGCTCCCCGCCCCCAAACCCTGATTTGCCTGGGGCAGGGCCTCCATGGGCCGGATCAGCCTGCTGCTCACCCACCCCCAAGCCAATTAGGGTCTGGGGGCAGGGCAGTGCACAAAGCTTCCTCCCGCCCTACCCCCGCCCAGCGAGGCGCATGCTGCACTTCATGCCGTACGCTCGCACCGGGTGGGAGGAGACGTCACGCGCTCCCCGCCCCCAAACCCTGATTTGCCTGGGGCAGGAGGAGCGTGCGATGTTTCCTCCCGCCCTACCCCCGCCCTGCAAGGAGCGTGCTGCACTTCCAAGTGCCGTACACTTGCGCAGGGCGGGAGCAGGGCGAGTGGAGCTTCGCACAGCTCCCCCGCCTGCATGCCAACCAGGACTTGGGGGCAGGGGAGCGCATGACGTCTCCTTCCACTCTGCGAGCAGCGCATGGCACTTGGAAGTGTCACACGCGCCTCGCAGGGCGGGGGTAGGGTGGGAGGGGGCTTCGCGCACTCCCCCCACCCTCCCGTCCTCGGGCCAATCAGGGCCTGGGAGCGGGGGAGCGTGTGAAGCCTTTTCTCACCCTCCCAGGGTGAGGTGCCTAGTGGGAAGCAGGGGCAAAGGGGCTCCCCCACCCCCAGATCAGTTATGGTCTGAAGTTGGGGAAGCTCATAAACATTCTGGCCCCGCCCCTTCCGGATTAGGCACCGCCCCTTCCGGGGCAGCCCCCAGACAAAAATTATTGCCCACCCCGGTCTAGGGTTACTTGGTCCTCCCTCAGCCTGGGGGGCTGGACTTGACTTCCCAAGGTCCATTTCAGAGATTCGGGGTCGGGTGATAATGGCTGAAGCCCGGGAGCTCAGAGCAAAGTCTACAAGGAATGTGCTGGACAGTTCTTGCTCTAGCACAAGACGCGTGTTCCTGAGGGGAGGGTTTTATGTGTTTGGAGGTTGTGGATGTTCATTCGGAACAGGCTTCCTGTCTTTGCCATGTGTCTTGCCATGTGTAGCTCAGGGTTTAGTGACCCCAAGAGACAGTCCATGGCCTTTGGGAAGCTAGGGCTGTTAGAAACTGTCTAATTTAGTAATCGTGTATCCACATCAGTTCTTAGCAGTTCCACCATTATTCAATGACTCCTGGGTCATGCTGCTGCCTCTGATACAGCCCGGCCTGCTGTGGACAGAGGCTGCTCCGCAGCTGCTCTGGGGGATGCTAGAGCAGCCTCTGAGGGGAGCTTGGGGTCCCCCATGGACAGGGGCTGCTGCCACCCCACACTGCTGCCTCTGAGCCCTGTGCGCCTCCGTTTGCCCAACTGTGCAAGGGGAGAAGCCCGGAATGACAGGGTGCCATGGGGGAGAGGGTGGGGAGCAGCAGCACAGGACGGGCAGCAGGCAAGAGCTGTTTTTTAAACCGGTTCCCCTCATGGACCGGCTCCCGCCTGCTACCCTGCACTGCTGCCTCTGTATCAGAGGCAGCAGCACAGGGTGACAGGTGGCTCCCCTGTGTGCTCTTCATTTAAAAAACCGAACTTGTGGGCTGGGACTGAGCTAGCCTGCCAGTCTGAGTTTTAAATGCAGAGCAGTAGGGGCCGGCTGGGTGGTTGTGGTTAACTGGGGCTGTTAACCGGTAAGCAATCGCTGATTGGTTAAATGGCTATCCGGGTAACCGCTAACATCCCTATGGGAAACTAGGATTATGTTCCCAACAAGGCAGCTTTTCAGCAGCCCCAGAAAACACAGAGCCAGGGCCATTAAGGTTCCATCACCACATTGACAAGGTCCGAGGGATAACTTCACCGGGAACCCGAGGCCTTAGGGGCAGGAAAGATCAGCACCTCCTTCCCCCTAACCAGTGAGGGCTTTTTTCCCGTTCCAGTCTAGTTTTAATATCCCAGGCAATGAGGCTCCCACCACCTCGTAGGGAATATCTCTGTTCTAAATGACATTTGGGACATAGTGTCCCAAGTGGTTAGAGCTTTGTTTTATCTGTGCCACAGATCCTCTGGAAGAGGGCAATCTCGGCTAGCTGAAGGGCTCCTGTGTTTCCCTTTGCGGCAGTCCCTCTGCACTTCTTGTACATGGACAAGTGAGGGTAGCATACGTTATCACTGCTGGATATGGGGGAAACTGAGGCACGGATGACGAGAGTTGTTGATGGCCACACAGTGAGAACGTGGCACAAGCAAGAACCCACATCTCGAGTCCCAAATCGGTTTCCTCAGGGGAGCCTCTTTCCTCCCTTCATGCCTCTCTCCGCTATTAAATGGGCATCATAACACCTGCTTTACCTGCTGACACAAAGCCTGAGGAGCATTTAAAAGGCCCTTTGGAAACCTGAGCTGACCCGTGTTTTTTAGTTTCACCCCTTCACTGCCGATTTAACCCCCCGCATCACTCATCTGAGAGGATCTGTTGCCTTGCGCTCCAGGAAGCTCTTGTGGCACAAGACGTGATAATCCTGCCAGAGGTCTCCCTGTTCATTCTCTCTTCAAGGTACACGCACTGCACCTGTAACTGCCACGGGGCGGATTTGAACCTGGGACCTCGGGAGCTTGGTATAGGAGCCTCTCCCCTTTGAGCTAAAAGTCAGCTGGCTCTCAGCACATGCTGTAGAAGTCTCTTGATCTTATCTGTTGCTGTGGTCTAGGTGCAGCTGCATGGGACAGTGAACCACACGAGGGCTGTGTCTACACTCGCGGCTTCTTGCGCAAGTAATATGCAAATGAGGCTAAGGGTGAAATATGGCCAAGCCTCATTTGCATACCTAACGAGCCACCATTTTTTTCAGAAGAGGCTCTTGCGCAAGAAGGAGCGTCTACACTGCCCCTTCTTGTGCAAGAAAAACCCTCTTGCGCAATGCCGTTCTTCCTCTCAAGTAGTAGGTGTAGCGGCATTGCACAAGTGGGCTTTTCTTGCGCAAGGAGGGGCAGTGTAGACGCTCCTTCTTGCGCAAGAGCCTCTTCTGAAAAAAATGGTGGCTCGTTAGGTATGCAAATGAGGCTCGGCAATATTTCACCCTTAGCCTCATTTGCATATTACTTGCGCAAGAAGCCGCGAGTGTAGACAGAGCCTAAGTGTGTGGGTTATACACCCAGAGCCATCTTACAGGGGCACCTGTTTCTCCCTCGTTCTTGACGACTTCTGTTTTAGCTTGGATTTATTTGCACAGACTGGTATATTGAGGACAAGGTGGCAGATTGCTGCCTTGGCCATTTGGCACAGATCTAAGACCTAGAGCAAAGAACCCAGTAAATGAGGTTTATCCATACAATTGCAGGCCGACCAGGCTGAACGCTGTTTCAATCCAGCTGCCTCATTGCTTCCTTCTCACAGAAGGGTTCTGAAATGAACGCTCCATATTAAGAAGGCAATGAGGACACGTTGTTGTCCATAGATTCCTCTCCTCTAGGGCTGTCCGTTTGGATTGGATGTATTCCTGGAGGTGCATTCATGTGACATGGTCTTTAATTCATCTTCAATTCCTGGAAACTCCAGGACAATCCTCAAGGACTGACACCCTACTCTCCTTCCCCTGAAACCTACCTGCATTATCAGGCAACAGGTAAACCATGAAAGGGGGTGCACAGTAAACATAGGTCACTGGTTCCTGCAGATAAGGGCTGCCAATGGCGCGTGTGGTGCAAAAGGGCAACTCTCTCGTGCTCTCTCGCTGCAATGAGCACTCACGATTAGCTCTGGGAAATCCCATGTGAGGGTCTGGGTTGAAAAAGCAGACTGTACAGCAGCAAGAGCTTGCTCCTGCTGGCAGAGCAGACTCAAGACAGGATAAATCGCTGTAAAACCTCATCCTGTTGACTTGGATTTGACTGCACAGCTGGGCTACTTCTCTGCCCCTCATTTGAGAACTATGTTCACGGTCCCTGATTCCAAATGTTATCCTGTTTCCCATCCACTCCTTTATAGCTTCATTTCCAGAAATCATCTGTCTTAAAAGCAGTGTGGCTGACTCGCCCAGTGATGCAGGACGAGCACTCTCTGTGCCTCCGTTCCCCCTCTGCAACGGGGTAATGCTGATGCTGACCCACCTTTGTGAAGTGCTTTGAGGCTTGTGGCTGAAAAGCAGATTTTTGAAGCTTGGATGTAACTCTTAGCTGCTTTGCTCCTTGCATTAGATCTTTGCCACATAGAAGGTCTCAGTGGGAGTAATTAGTGCAGGGGTCTCAAACTGCCAGCCTGCAGGCTACCCAGACTGGAGCAATTGCTCAATCCGGCCCAGGAGTCCGGGAGAGGAGGGCCTGTCCATTACCGTTTCCCAAGCCCTGCCCCTTCCTGCCATCGTCCCACCCTCTCCCCCATGGCACCCTGTCATACCGGGCTTCTCCCCTTGCACCGTTGGGCAAACGGAGGCGGACAGGGCTCAGAGTACGTGGCCAAGTTCACAAGAGGAGCCTGCAGTGGAGCGGGGAAGAGAATCCAGAATTCCTGGCTTTCATTTGTACAGTATTTATGCTGCCTCGCTTCCTTGTACAAGTCCACTGGCCTGTACCTGGTTCAGAGCATCCAGGCCTGATGCTACTCCTGCTTCGGGCTGTCCTGGGGTCGCTGCATGTGTGGTGGAAGTGTCCAGTCCAAACTTGTGTGTCGGCAGCTGTCAGAGCGGGGGTCCTCTCCCCGTGCACTCACTGTGCCCTTCTTTCTCCTTGCCCCCAGATGCGCACCACCAGGAAGGTGTCCGTGTGGCCGGTGGCTTTTGTGGGCGGCTTGCGCTACGAGTCGCCCAAGGTGAACGCAGCAGGGAAGGTGTACGGCTGGAAGACGGTTTTCGACCCCCACCGCCCATTTGCCATTGACATGGCGGGCTTTGCCGTGAACCTCAGGCTGATACTCCAGCGATCTCAGGCTTACTTCAAACTGCGAGGAGTAAAAGGAGGGTACCAGGAGAGCAGCCTTCTCCGGGAACTAGTGACCCTGAATGACCTCGAGCCAAAAGCTGCCAATTGCACTAAGGTATGGACTCAGGTACATAGGCTGGAAGGAGCCATTCTCCTGTATCTATTGCTAACCACAACTGCCAGGAGACGCAGACGCTCGAAAAGGGAGCATAGAGACTGCCCTATAGGATCAGACCTGTCGTCTGTCCAAACCAGTATCCCAATGCCCATCTAGTCCAATATGCTGTCTCAGATGCTTCAAGAAAAGGCCTCCCCCGACACACACACACAAATGGGCAGTTACGAAGTAAAATACATAGTGGGGAAATTGCATCTGAAATTCCAGCCCTTAGTGGCTGGCTTCTGCCCTGGAGTGTGAGGATTTATCCCCTCTCGAAACGTCTCTGCTAGCTGCACTAACTCTAGCTGTCATCCTCACGATTTACATGAACGTCTCAATAACGTCCTGTGACAGTGAGTTCTGCAGATGAATTATGCATGGTACGGAAGAGCATTTCCTATATGACGGGCGCTGCTTTGCATTTGCATTAGGGGTGCCCTTTTTCATGTACAATAGCGAACATCAGCGTGAATTTGCAGCTCTGCTCCTGCTTCTCCTAAGATGTTACAGGAAATGGAGGGGTAAAGAGGACGAGAAATAGAGCAGAGAGGCATCCGTGTGGGCAGAGCTGGATTAAGGGGTGGGCGAGGCGGGCAGCTGCCCGGGGCACCTGATGGCAGCTGTAAGGGGTGCGCAGCATCTCTTATAGGTGCCCGGCCCCCGCAGCGCCCTTCCCTCCACGGCCGCGGGGCCCTGCACGGCCAGGCACCGCACG